CCAGGAAATTAAAAGGCGCATTGCCATGGGAAAGTCTGCTGTTAGGGACCTCTCCAAAGTACTGAAGAGCAATGGTGTCTCTCTTGAGACTAAGGTGCGTCTGATACAAGCTATGGTCTTCGCAATCACTGTTATGCATCAGAGAGTTGGACAATGACTAGGGAGGACAGAAGGAGAATTGATGCCTTGGAGCTGTGGTGCTGGAGAAGAGTATTGAGGGTACCATGGAGTACTAAGAAAACAGATTCTTCCTGGAGAGGATTAAACTAAACCAAGCAACTCCTTGGAGGCAGGAATTCTGGGGCTTTGCCTGACATACTTTGGGCATATTGCAAGGAGGGACAGACAGGTCCTTGGAGAGGGACATCATGCTTGGGAGGGTGGAGGGACAGCGCAGGAGGGGAAGACCCTCTATGAGATGGGTTGATTCAGTGACTGGGGTAATCGGGATGGGTGTGTCAGAGGCAGTGCGATTGGCACAGGATAGAGCAGGTTTTAGGGCTGTTGTACATAGGGTCCCTATGAGTCACAAGTGACTCGATGGCACATAACAACAACAACAAACAATGTGGTATCTGTGATAGCTAGTTTCAGGAGCAAATGTGAAGGGATTTATAGGGACTTCCAAATATTCTACATAAAATTTCACAGTTATTTTAATGTTCCTCCCTAACAAGGGAGAATTGCATTTATGCATTCAGTACCTTATCGTCTTCACGGTTAGCAAACCCCTCTATAATTCAATGAACTTGCCCCATGGATCATATGTAACTAGGCTTTCTCACTGAGCTTTCTGCTCTGAAATGCTATTTTCTTACGTGGACATTTTCTCAGCTGGGTTTTGTTTTCTTTTTCTTTCCTCCTTCATAACAACTTGGTTACTGGTAGTTCCAATATCCCCTTCCCTATTTACCATGATTTTATTTATTGTTTTAGTTTAAAAGAACCATCCCCCATCCAAAAAAGTACAGCTGAATTATTATTATAGGTAGCCCAGCAACCAGGCAAGTGTCAAAAATATTGTATATTTTAATTTTAATTTGTTGAATGAATAAAAATTTTGATGACGGCTTGACAATGATTCAGAAGAACTATTTTTTCAGAATCATAACACTGTGGTGAAAAAACTAGCACTGTTCACTAAATTTCTTTAACTTTTACTCCAGTGGATCAAATAACTATCAGTGACTCATCTGTTTGAAATTTATTTTCATATATGCTATGAATTAGGGTTCTCACTTGGTTTTTTGCAGTGTGTACTAGGCCAGGTCATGCTGCTGTTATTAGCTGCCATGGTGTCAGCTCCCAACTCACTGTAACTCCAGATGTTAAAATCTGTCTGCTCCTATGCCATCTTCATGATCAGGGGCAATTTAGATCACTGAGATCTACTTGGTTTTCACTGGTTAATTACCAGGAATAGATCATTAGACCTTTAGACTCCCCCACATTCTATTCACTTAGTGGTGATGCTCCACTCAATCTGTTCAGCACCAGAGGAAGATGCAAATCTCCACTGACTGACAGATGGAGACCGCATTTGGGAGACCTTATTTGGGTATCATACTTGGAGCTTCTGCATGGGAAGACAAAATTGTACCCAGTTATTTAAATACAAATCCCATTGTTGTCATAAAATTACCTTACAGATATGGTTACAATCTACTGCCTTTAATGGAGAATTTTCTCAGTTAATATGAGCAAGCTTCAGTCAATCAGACGAGAGGACTAAGAGCAAAGCTGAGGTTTCCCTGAGAAAGAAATTTTGCCTCTTTTCCACTACAAGATGATTCTCTTTTAAAAAACTTTTACATAGTTTGCATTCAAAATTTGTATACATTGTTTCATTTATATACACCATGCTTCACACATCTGCAATATGGTTCATACAATGATTCCCATATGTTGTTTTATAAAATTAATCATCAGTGATCTATTTATTGCCACTACTACCCCATTCATTTTCAGCTTTTTGACTTGTCCTATGGATCTCAAATTTTGTCAGCACACACATGGTTGTGAGAACCACTTCCCTGAAATAACTCTTTCTCAGATGTCAAGTCGAGAGAACCTTTAAACCCCCTGAGAAACCAAAGTATATGGTCATCCACTATCTTCTGTAAACCTTCAAAAGAAAAAACACTGAACAGTAAGACAATCTATGTAGTGTTCAAACTATACTTCTGAAAAATACTATTTTATTTATATTTATATATGAAAAAAAGGATGCATTATTTTTACATACATAACAATACTGGGAAACAGTCTGAGAACAAATCCCATCTAAATTTTATAAAGAATGCATTAAATATAACACTGATTGGTTACAGATAGTATAGAGTAGGGGGAGAAAATCATTAGCTGCAATTTTAATTTTAGATAAAGAACAGCACCCTCTGAGAAGAATCAAATCAACTAGTAGTAATCATCTGTATCGTAAAATAATATATAAATAGGAAAGTTAGTGATTGTACTGATTTTATTACTTTTGCTAAGCCTTTCTTCTTACATTCAATGCAAAGAAATAAAACATAGGAAGAAAAATATGTTCTCATTACTATTCACAATAAAAATGGCCTGCTTCATTTTGCAGGCCTGGGCATATTTTATAATAGGGAATACTTAAAAGGTTCAAGTGGATCAATGTACCATTTTGATTCTGATCCACCGGAGAGACTCTCATCCTCAATGAGTGACTACACAAATTTAGCTCCATGGGAGCTGTGATAGACTGAACCATTTTGTGATATTCCCAAATCTCATGAAACAAGACCCTAAACAAAGAAATATAACAATCAATTTGTCCAGAAATTTACCTACAGATTATAATTTTAGCATGAAGTGGAAGAGAGGACCTTTTCTTGAGTCCACAGACATAAGCATTACTGTAGTCTAGAGATTGCTGAACTGAGAGACCACTATAAGACTAAGAAACTTCCACAACTTGTCTCAATTCTTCAAATAATGGAGCAAGTTCCTTTTCTAGGCTCACAATCAATCCTGAAACAAAGAGATTACAAAAATAAGAAGTTATGAAAACATTCCTGGAAAAGTATACAATTTTTTTTTGTCCAAAATGTGTTGCTACTACTAAGTGTATGAGACACAGTTATTAGCAATAATTAAACCAAGAGACTTTAATTCTATACACTTCACTTATTATGGCAGCTGCTTTAACAATTATTAAAGTAGACAGATTGAAAAGATTGTTTATTAGAAGATACAGAACGAATTAACAGATTTTGTTAAAGAGCCTGAAAAGGAAAAGTCTTGATTTTAACTCACTGTTTCAATTTCTCTATGAATTCAGAAATAACACACATGATTTTTACTAAAGAAGGTCCACTTTTGTCTGAGAAAATTTTAAGTCCACTTTTTTCTGAGAAAATTTTAAGGACCATTATTAAATATTGAGCGAAGAAATAATCAGAAATGTCTTTTCTAACTTCAACAAAGGAAAGGCATAAAAATGTTTATTTGAAATGAAAAATACTATTTTAAGGATGAATGAGTAGTAATAAAAAACAATGAAATTTAAAAAAATTCAATGATAAATCTGGGAAACAAATTATTTTAAAAATTGAAAGATCTAATTTCTCTTTACCAAAATGAAAGCTATACATCTCACTGTCTCTCTGTCATGTTCAAAGAATAAAGATCCTTCCACAGTCCTACAGAAAAACATTTAGGCATTCAGGATTCTCAGGGCCAAGTTCTAATTATATATATATCTGGAAGCAGGCATGGCATCCACTTCCTAAAGAACTCTGGAAACTTTATGAGCTTAGAGAAACAACAATAGTTATTGAGCAAAGTTCAGGTCTTTATTCATAGGGTCACTATGAGTTGGGCTTGACTCAGTGTCACTCAACAACAACTACACACACACACACACACAAATTTACTTATTTATATATATCATAATTTATAGTAATTGACGACTTTGTTGGTGATTGGTGATTTATTACAACTGAATTTCAATACACTTACAGCATTAACACTACCACTACTCTATACCATTTACAAAGTGTTTTCATATGCAGTATTTTAGACATTCAAAGAGTTTAAACACAAGAGATTTAACAAGTCACATTTAAACTGATTATAAAGATGAGGAACTGGAGGACAGCCAAGATCACAGAACTTATTCAAACTGTGTGGGAAATAAAAACCAAACAAAACACACCTATAGAAAAAGAAAGTAAAACAATATTAAATAGTTGTGAAATCTTGAGATAGACTTGAATATAAACTCAACATTGGCTAACAAGTAATGAAAAATTATAATTGAGCTGAATATCATTGCTATTTTATAGATAAATGCCTACTAATGGATACTGTAAATACATATCCACTGCTCACTTAAAAACCTCATTAGATAACAAAGACCAGGTTATGTGAAAATTGGCATGTGAAAACAGAGGGTGATCACATCAGATCACAAAATAGAGAATAATGACACTACTCCATAACTGCCATATTATACTACAACATCATTCTTAGCTACATCAGTACGTAACTGCCAAGCCACTGTGAATCATGGCCAGGCAAGCTGACACATAACCTTAACCATACAGCCAGTAATACTCTCTCCTCATACCCCAACATTCAATATTGCTGTTGTACAGAGCTACTGTGAAAAATAAGCAGTAAGTTTTTAAACCACTGCCATAAATGTGAATTACTATGGAACAAGAAAGCGAGTGCAGTAAGAATTTTTTTTCTTTGTGACGTGACCCTGATTCAGTGCTGACCCTCCAAGGAATTTCTGAGGTCGTAAATCACATGGGAGGAGAATGTCCATCATTTTTTCACCCACAGAGCTACTAATAGACTGTGTGCATGGTACAGAGTTAGGCAAGATTTCAATCTGTTTACATACAGTCCTATGAGTCAGAATGGATTAGATAAGCACCAATATTTAAAGTACAAGGGGTCCGTTGTGCAGAAGTGTGCAATATGGCAGGCAGACAACCAGAAGGTGGGTGGTTCAAACCCTCCAGCTGCTTTGCAGTAGAAAGACAGGCAGTCTCCTCCCATAAAGATTTACAGCCTTAGAAATCTGAAAGTTTCTATAAGTTGGAATCAACTCTAAGGCACTGAGTTTATAAGAAGTACAAGAAGCCATAGTGCCATTATGTACTGAGCTACTAGCCAAATTGTAATCCATCAGGCTCCTCAAGGTAGAAAGATAGGCAGTCTCCTCCTAAAAAGATTTACAGCCTCAAAAACTTGACAGTGTCATGAATCAGAATTTATCTGACATTGTTATGTGCTGTTGAGTTGGAAATGACTCCTACTTAAATTTCCTGTAGGTTTTCACCGGGTGTAAATCTTCAGACAAACTCATCTTCCTGCCTTTCAAGATTCAGAGATTCTTATTTAAAAGATTAGTCTACATGGAACTGAATCAATCCTTAATCCTTTCGGTTTCCTACCCTGCTGGAGAGTCAGCTATAAGTCAGTTCTGATCAAATGGCAATGAGTGTTTGAGTGAAGTAATAGTAATGTGAGCAACTCAAAAGCTGAAGAGCATTCAATTTTCGTTCCTACTGTACAAAAAAAAAATCACCCTCCCTCACTGTTGTACTTGAATAGAAAACAACTAAGATCTAGAAAGCAGGTTTAACTCCAATCATGGAATTGTTAAGTATCACTAAGTTGGAAATGATCAAGGGTTGACCCTCCTGCAGGTTTTCAGAGATAATAAATTACAGGCAAGATTCAGAGCAACTGGTTGAGGATTTGAACTGTGGGCTTCTGAGTTAGCAGCTCAGCTCCTGACCATGCCACCAACATTCCCTATAGAAATGGATACTAGAACTCAAAGATTAAGTCACTTTTCCTAAGAAAAAAGGAAAACGATGGGAGACCTTGTCACAAATTCTGGTTTTGTGACTCTCAATACTTGTTGTATGAGGCTTCTCAGATACAGAAATATAGAGAATAAAAGGAAGTATTTGAGTTAATTAAAACATACCCGTATTGGCATTGCTGCTGGCTATGAAACTCACCACCAAAGGTAAACGATTAAATTGAACCACCTGAAAAGAAAAGAATCTGTTAGGTTGTACTGTTAGAAAGTAATACATAGAACTTGAATGAGTATCTCAATCTTTAATTTCTTAATCATAACCCATCACTCTGAGGGAATGAGCTGTCCGGTCCAAGAGTCTTAGGACAATAATCTCAGTAGCCACTGAGGTCAAAAGTCTACAAAGACATTGTTCTACATCCTATTTGGGTAAGTAGTGACTGAAATCTTATAAGATTTTGAGTAGCATTTCTTACAACTATCATTTTCCCTGTCTGAAACAAAGAAGAGGAAGAAGAGCAAAAAAACAGTGAATTCAAAGACCTAATGGGCCACAGGAACTTCAACCTCTCTGACCTGGAGTATCAGAAAACTAGACGATCCCTAGCTTCTACTATTGTACTACTTAGCAAATTAGAGTAGAAGGTCCTGGACAGTGTGGGTGAAAAATATAAAAATCTCAAAAATAGGATTACTGGTCCAATAGAGCAGAAACCCCCAAGACAGCCCTTAGTTTTGACTCTGGAACAAAACTCACCTCTGTGGCTCAACTTGCAGACAAATGTTAGAAAGGCCTATTAAATAAAAAGTAACACCACGGACATACTCACTCTTTAGAATAATCAACTACATGTTGTTGTTGTTATGTGCCGTCGAATCATTTCCGACTCATAGCGACCCTATGCACAACAGCCCTAAACCCTGCTCTATCCTGCGCCAACCGCACCGCCTCTGACACACCCATCCCGATTACCCCAGTCACCGAATCAATCCATCTCATAGAGGGTCTTCCCCTCCTGCGCTGTCCCTCAACCCTCCCAAGCATGATGTCCCTCTCCAAGGACCCGTCCCTCCTGGCAACATGTCCAAAGTATGTCAGACGAAGCCCTAGAATCCTTGCCTCCAAGGAGTAGCTTGGTTTAATCCTCTCCAAGATGAATCTGTTTGTTTTCCTGGCAGTCCATGGTACATTCACAAGGCAAGATAGGGTAGAAGAGAAGTATTAATGGAAGTGAAAATCTTAGGAGGAAGTGATTAAGAGTGCACTAATACTGTATGACAATTGGTGGTACCATCAAACAAAATATGTACGGTGGTGGTTGTTGCTGTTAGGTGCTGTCAGGTGGAGTATGACTCACAGTGACCCTATGAATAAAAGATCTGAACCCTGTTCTATCCTGCACTATCCTTACACTTCCTGACATAGAAGAGCCCACTGCAGCAGTCACTGTGTCAGTCCACCTGGTTTAGGTTCTTCCTCTCCTTTGCCAACCCTCCACCCCTCCCAGCATCATGTCCCTCTCCAAGCAATAGCCTCTCCTAGCAACATGCCCAAAGTATGTGAGGTGAAGCCTCATCATTCTTGCCTTCAAGGAGCACTCTGGCTTCACCCTTTCCAAAACATATCTGTTCGTTCTCTTGGCCATCCATGGGATGTTCAGTGCTCTTCTCTAACAGGTGTCAATTATTTTTCTGTCATCCTTATTCATTGTCCAACTCTCAGATGCATAAGAAGTAACGGGAAGTAACTGGAAAGACTATGGCCTGAATCAGCTGCACCTCAGTCCTCAAACTGACATCATTACTCCTCAATAATTTGGAGAGGTCCCTAACTAAAGACTTTCCCAGAGCAATGTATCTCCGTATTTCCTGACTGCTGTAACTGATGGTTAATAAGTAAAGAAAAAAAAATTAAAAACAAGCAAAACAAAATTAATGTTTAGATACTAGCCTAACTAGTATCATGAAACATGGATGAAATAGAGATGAAACTCTGCAATGAAAAAACTTAGTATCTCTTTGTAAAACAGCAGCTGTAATAAGTAGCAGCAGTAGCATCAGATCCTGTCTAACTTCAAGAGGGATAATCAGAATCAAGATCTATCCAAAAAAAGATTCCCACAAGGCAGAAGTCATTAATTCATTCTCCATCTCTTTCTACCACTGCCAACACTAGCAGTCTCTCCCATGGAAAACTCTACACCTCTCTTCTGTGTTTGATAATACATAACAATGGTCACAGACAGCTCAGCAGTTACACTTATAGTTAAGTGGTTTATTAGGGAAATAAACACGTAAAGATAGGAATCAGAATCAACAGACTACAACTCAGGATTAGGAAGCATGTGCACAAAGTATGGAATGTTCCACTGACATGGAGAAACCACACTGGTCTTCAATGCAAGCAGCTAGCTCTGGTCCACTCAGCCATGCAAGCAATGAGGCCTCCTCTCTCTCTCGTGCATGATCCTTCTCTACTGTTTAAGGCAGCTGTCAACATCCTGAAGCTTCTTCTCATCTTGGTTGTCCAATGTGTAGAGATGCACAGCCAACCAAAGGCAGGAGGATCAAAATTACTAGCTGTTTTGAGGGAGAAAAGATGGGCAATCTCTTCCTGCATGATTTGTTGTTGTTGCATGTCATTGAGTCAGAACTGACCCATAACGAAACCTCCAGCAAGTTTTTGTAGGCAGTAAATCAGGTGGGAGATTACCCATCCTTCTCTCACAGAGCAGTTGGTGGATTTGAACCATGTGCCTTTGGGATTGCAGCCCTGCTTCTTATCACTAGGTCATCAGCACTTCCTCTGTATGATTTACAGCCTCTGAAAACCTGCTAGAGGGGCAGCTGTGAGTTGATTCTGACTCAACAGTAATAACAAGAACAACAGACAGCTTCTACCTCTACTGAGTAAGCTCTAAAGTTTTCCTGCCATCAGTCTTTTCACTGCTAACTGACCTAGCCTGGTTCACAGCTTGAATGCCAGTGTCTCAGCTGCATTCTTACCAGCAGGTTTCTGCCATCCTTACTAACTCCTGCAGGGCCCCTTCTGGACTTTTCACCACTGGCTCTGCTGCATGGTCATTATGGGCAGTTGCTACTGGTTCCGGCAGAGCCCATTCTGGGCCTTTCACTATCTTCAGGGTTATGGTGTCATGTTACAGTTCTTTCAAGAAGTTCTTCAGATCTCCTCTGCTTCTTTATTCCTATTAATTCTGTCTACCAGTCTCCGTGGGGTTGGCTGGATACATGTATAAACAAATTTCAGGCCCTCCATGAAGGCTTCTTTCTCGGTTGGCCAGATACCAAACCTGAATAGTTGTTGTTGTTGTTATGTGCCGTCAAGTTGCCTGCAACTCAGAGCAACCCTATGTACAACAACCCTGAACCCTGCTCTAACCTGTGCCAATCTTATTGTCTCTGACACACCTACCCCCATTACCCAGTCAATTAATCCATCTCTTTGAGGGTCTTCCTTTCCTGTGCTGTCCCTCCACCCTCCCAAACATGACCAGTCCCTCTCCAAGGACTGGTCTCTCCTTGCAACATGTCCAAAGTATGTCAGACGAAGCTTCAGAATCCTTATTTTGTTTGTACAAGTATGTTAACCATTTGCTGCAAGGTGTGTAAAAACATGCCAAAATACTGCAGGTCGCCGCCCAGGGCAAGACAAAAAAAATTATCAAGCCACAAGATGTTTACAGCTTATCTACGAAATGTTAATCAGTCTGGACAAAAGTAAGAAACCTTTAGGAGCATAAATCTGTGGCCAAGCTAACTCCCCATGGATTGTGCAGAGTGGTTTAAGAACACTAGGTTGGGGACTCTCAATAATGTTTTTCCTAAGAACCAAGACAAAAGGTCCTACTAAAAAACTCCTTTCACCACCCTCAGAGATATTAATGCAACTGGCATCTTAAAACCATAAGATAAGCCTAGCTGTCTTCATGATTTTACTTCTAAAGCTCAGCAAAAGGTCAATTACAAAGTAAGGGCTCAGTAAATAAATGATAATTAAATGGCTAAAAGCCATATTTTTTAGCTATTGAAGCAGCTTTATTTTTGTAAATTCTGGGGAGGTCTCATTTGCCTGACTCTACAAAGAGTATGGCACAAGACAGGTCAAAGTTTTCATTTGCTATTCATAGGGCTGCTATCCAGCGTCTAGCACCACCATGACCACTAAGAGTACGTGTGTGTCTTATTAAAATTACTTTTTTTTTTTTTAAAAAAATCATTTCTTTGGTGCTGTAAGCAAAAGTTTACAGAGCAACTTAGCTTTCCATTCAACCACTTTACAACATTTTGATTTATGACACTAACTACAGTTTGACTCTACCAGCTGTTACGTCAGAGAAAGACGGGCAATCTCAATGAGATTTCCAGTCTCTGAAAACCGCTGGAAGGTCAGCTCTGAGTCAGTTCCAACTTGACAGCACACAACACATTGGGACAGCACTCTTATACTTCATCTGTGTGATTCTCACTTCTTTCATTCTTCCCGCCTATCCTTTTTAGTCTTCTGAGCTTAATTCCTGGGAAATGTTGCCCTCCTGATCTTGTATGATGGACTGTTCTAAGGAGTGTGTTTCTTAGATTCAATCAACTATCTTTTTTTATTTTCCCCCTCCCCATCTCTTCAGTGCCTTTACTTTGAAGCCAGAATCATGGCTCCTCAAAGGCATATGGGTTCATCCTGAGATTGATTCAATCAACTATCATTAAAAAAAACCAAAAGCACCACCTTAGATTTACCTTAAGTAATATTCTGAGAAATAGAAGGCCAAGTGTACTGGTTACCTTCTTCCTATGACACTTTGTAACATATAACTTTTAAAATGAAAAAAATTATTTTTATAGCACTGGTTATGCACTGAGTTATGCACTGATATAAAGCTAAAGAGATTAACTTATTCTAAAGAAGAAAATGCAGCCAGAGATCACGAGATTTACATTTATACATTTAAAACCGAATGAAGACATAAGAAGCATTACAAATTTTTAAAGAATTTCTCATTTGGCTTTCAAGAGAAAATGTTTTATCTGTCAAAAGACCAAAAAGTATGTCATTTCAGAGATTACATTTGTTTAGCTAAGGGCACCATCTACTGGAGGTAAAAGTGACCTGACTTGATTATTAAAAATTGAACACAAGTTATTTTACACAGATGATAAAAAAATGATGGTTAAAATCAGCAATTTCATATTTATGAACTTACCTGGTAAGTGTTATAGTAACAGATAATACTTTTGTTTTTTGAGAGTCCAAGTTTGCTGCCTTGGTCTGTTGCAAGGGCAAAAGTAGATAAGAAGCCAGGTCTCAGAGCATGCTCTGGGGCATTGTCATTGGCCACTAGAAAAAAGAAACGATGTAAATAAATACTAAGCAGAGGACATGGTAGGCAGTATATTTAGAGATTCTCTCCCCTCTCCTTCCACGAATCATAAAAATCTGAATACTAAGATTTTGTATAGCAAGTTTTAAAAAACGTCATCAACTGGGTTTTCCTTTCAAGTGAGAAAAATTACTTAACCAGCAGCTCAGTGAAAACAAGGAAGGAAAGAAATGCTAACTCTCAAAACATTTTTTTAGAAAGAATACTAAATATAAACTTTCTTGACATCTACCTAAAGCATCAGTATACTATTCTAATTAACTGAGAGTCAAGCCAGAATAAAATCAGGGAAAAAGCAACAAAAACCTTTGCTCTCATAAAACTCAAGACAGGAAAAATCCTGTCCTGATTACTTATTTAAAATTTTTCTCACTTATTGAAAAAGGCTGAATAAAATAGAGTGAACCAAATATTGTGGCATAATCTGTAGCAAGTTATGCTGCTAACCCAAATCCCATGGCCTTTGAAGGTTCAAATCTACCAAGAGCTCTGAGGGAGAAAGATGGGTACTTTCACAAGTGAGTTACAGCCTTGAAAATTCAATAGAGGGTCCACTATGAATCAGCTGCAATCCAATGGTACTAAGCTTGAGCTTGTAAATACTAAAGGCAAAGCCCAAGAAAGAGATCCCAAGGGGAAAAAAAAAATCAAAACTCACTCACTGCTTTCAAATTTATTCTAACTTACAGCTACCTTATAGGTGAAAACAGACAGATGTTCTGGACTAAATCTTATTGCCACACCGAAATCAGATCGCCATGTTTTTCCTGTTGAGAACTTAGTAGGTTTGAACTGTTAACTGTTCAGTTACCAGTTGAGTACTTAACCATGTGTTAATAGGATATTGTTATTAAATGATTATAAAATGCTGTTATTAGATGCCTTCAAGTCAAACTGGACTCAAAACAACCCTATGTGCAACAGATCAAAACACTGCCCGGTCCTTTGCCTTCTTCACAAGTGTGGACATCCTTCAGTGTATTGTTTGAGCTACTGTGTTAATCCATCCATCACTAAGGGCCTTTCTCTTCTTCATTGACGGCCTACTTTGATGAACATGATCTCTCTCTCATGGGATTAGCCTCTTCTGATAAAATCTCTGTGATGTTATTTTGCTTACACTTCCATCAAAGACTCAAATGACTTATCAACAGCCACCCATGTGGCTGTGTTTTATGGTTAGGTTAGAAATTACACTGAAGCAAATGGCATTAGGAGAAGGTAACTTCCAGTAATGTCTTCCCACTGGCTTCTGTGTAACTCTGAACTGACAATGTTGATTCTTTGTACTTGAATATCTTAACCCATAAAATCAAAGAACGAAGTTACTTAACCTCTAAAATTCCTTCTAGGTCTAAAAGTCTAAAATTATCTGACTTGTGTGATAGGTGGAAAGGAAATTCTAAGCAATGAGCAGAGAATATCATTTAATGTTTGGTAAAGTTATTACAGGAGCTTATACAAGTACTTTAAAATGGCAATCATCCATTATGAGTATGGGATGTCACAGCAATAATTAGTAAAACTGGACTGAATCTACACTAACTCTGTAACAGCAAGTGTATTACTTCTTTTTTTTAAAAAACAGCAAACCAAAACCCAAAAATTAAAACAATTCATATTAGATTATTTAAAAATTAATGTCAAAGTGAAGTTAAAATTTTTTACAATAGTCTTATTTTCAGTAAGGAAAGAGGAAAGATTAAATTCATCAATATATGATGTTAGTGACAGAACTGCTGACAAGGAAAATAAATGAGGATACATGTTTGTACATATCTAGTTACATAAAGGCTCAATACGCTATATATTATGATATAACAAAAAAACAAAAAAAATATTTGTGAATAATGGGAAACTGGATTTATGATAAATCTAGCTTAACTGACTAAGTTAATGTGATACCTGACATGTAATAAATTTTAAATTTCACTGTAGTCTTCAACATAAAAACGCAAGTGTTAAAAAAATAGGACAATCTCCTCCTGTGCAATAAACTGCCTCTGAAAAGCCACTGGAGGGTCAGCTATCTATTGGTTCCGACTCAACAGGACACAACAACAGCAAGTGAATTTACTCATAAAGGTTTTATATGCTTCCTCCTTTACTATTCACACTTTTATCAAAGGCAAATAAATGCTCTTCGTAAGGTCTTAGTTTTACCTTTAATAACAGGCACTCCATCTCTATCAGACACAACAATAGCATGGAGTCCCTCAACACTAGAAAGGAAAAAAAAATAAATAAATCATTCCATTTTCTCAAAATAGCAATGGCAGTTTTAATTTTATTTTTTAAAAACAACAAAACATGGAAGCTCAGTTATTTACTATTAATTGTACGTGTCTATCAAAATTCACCCAGGAACTGAATGTTTATTACCAACATGTTTATATACTTTACTGATGATCTAAAAATATAGTTGATTCTCCATTAAAACTGTTACTCTATTAACATTCCATGGTTTAACAAAGTAAGGTCATGAGCAGTTATTTTAGGAAGAAAAAATGCTATTATTTTTCTTCATTCATACCACTATCACGTTCTCAGCATCTGTAGCATTTAACATTTGTGATACTAAGGTAAGGCAAAAATAATAATAACTGCCCACACAAATTTACAATCAAAAAGGTGGGCAGACTGGCAAGTCACCTCATACTAACCAATGTGAAACTGCACAGGTGGCACAGGCTGATGGAAAGTCTAGGGGGCTATAAATACGCTAAAAGAAGGAGCTGGCTTAGACAAGCAGATGAGCTGGCTTCCCTGCAAAAGCATCAACTTAGCTAAGATGTTAACAACACTAAGTGAAAAGAAAGGGTTTAAGAAAAGATCATCCTAGGCCAAGGGAACATGGCATAAAGAATGAAAATCTAACAGCAATTTTTTCATCCATGCTTACAAAAGAGTAAGTATGATGGCCAAGGACACAGTCTGACATCAGAAAGACAGACTACACCACTTATTATTTATGTTAGTTTAGGCTAGTGAACCAAACCTCAACCTGTGTACTTACGTTATTTGACTATGTAAAATTGCTTTGAAGGAACTGGCAAAAAA